AAAAAAGAAAGAAAAGAGAAAAAGCCAGCCTAGGCTACATGAGATCCTGACTTAAAACAGCAGCAAGAAGCTAGGCAAGTTGGGAGATGGCTCAGTGAAATGTTTGCTGCTCAAAGTCTGAGGATCTGAGATCCAATCTTCAACACCCATGTAAAAAGCCATGAGGGGTTGTTGGAGCCTGTAATCCTAGGACTAGGGAGGCAGAGAATCCCTGGGGCTCACTGGCCAGCCAGTTTTGGTGAACTAGTGAGCTCCAGGTTCAGTGAAAGACCCTGTTTCACACAATAAAGTGGTGGTGCACACCTTTAATCGAGGTACTTGGGAAGCAGAGGCAGGGGGATCTCTGTGAAATAGAGGCCAGCCTGGTTTACATAAGTGAGTTCCAGGCCAGCTGGTGCTACAGGGAGACACTGTCTCAAAAAGATCAAAAATAAAAATATAATAAACAAATAAATAAATAAATAAATAAATAAATAAATAAATAAATAAAATGACAGTCTCAGTAAGATGGCCTTTGAAAAGCACTTGTGCTTCATATTGAACCTGAGTGACTCCCATGAACTTCAAGAACTAGTTAATTTCAAATCTTTAAGTATTTTAGTCAAGTACTGGTGGCTCATGCCTTTAATCCCACACCCTGCTTGAAGTATACATTTGGGTTTTTTGGTTTTTTTGGGTCTTTTTGAGACAAGGTCTCCCTGTAGACCCAGCTGGCCTGGAACAAACCATGTAGACCAGGCTGGCCTCTAACTCATAGAGATCCACCTGCCTCTGCCTGGGATTAAAGTGGTGGGATTAAAGGCGTGTGCCACCAAGCCTGGCCTTATTTATTATTTTTATTTTATGTGTATGGGTGTGTTGTCTGCGTGTGTGTTAGTGCACCTGTGTTGTGCAATGCCATGGAGGTCAGAAGAGGGTATCAGACTCCCCTGAAACTGGAGTTAAGGACCATTCGTAGCCGCCATGTGGGCATTGGGATTCTAACCCGGGTCCTCTGCAAGAGCAGTCAGTACTCTTAACCACTGAACCATCTCTCCAGCCCCCACTTTATTTTAATTTTATTATTTTATTTTACTTTATTTTATTTTATGTGTTTGAGTATATTGCTTGCATGTAGGTAAGTGCACCCATGTTGTGCAATGCCCTCAGAGGGAGCATTGGATCCCCTGGAACTGGAGTTATGGATGGTTGTTAGCCACCATGTGAGTGCTGGGAACCAAACCCACGTCCTCTACAAGAGCAACCAGTGCTCTTAACCACTGAGCCATCTCTCCAGCCCCTCAGATTTATTTTTAATTAAATGTATGTATATGTCTATGTGTAGGTATGTACAGGAGAGTGCAGGTGTCTGTGGAGGCTAGAGGTGTCAGATTCCCTGGAACTGGAGTTATAGACAGTTGTTAGCTGCCATGTGTGTGTGCTGGGAACTGAACCTGGGTCCTCTGCAACAGCAGCCAGTGCTTTTATCCACTGAGCTAGGTCTCTGCCCCCAAAGTTTTCGCTCATTGTTCTGTACATAGAGCTGTGCAAACTGTAGGTGCTCAGTAAAAGAGTGAATTAGGAGTATAATGGTGCACTCAGCACCAGGAGGCTATAGGAGGCCAACCTGGTTACACAGGGAGACTTTGCCTCAAAAAACAAATAAAAAAGATAGGCCTGGTGCTGGAGGTCCTTTATTCCAGCTCCTGGGAAGCTGAGGCAAAATGATTGCAAGTTCAAGGCCTAACTATGCTACAGAGAGAATTTGAGATCAGCCTGGGCAACTTAGTGAGACACTGTCCCAAAAAGTAAAAAGGCAGGTTGGGTACATAGCTCAGAGGTAGAGCCCCTGCCCAGAATTCCCTAGTGAGGGGCTGGCACATTGCTCATTGGTAGAGCTCCTGCCTACTAGGTGTGAAGCCCTGGGATCCGTGCCTAGCACAATAACAACAACAATAATGTAAAATTTTCTTGTGAGGAGGGTGGCTTCCTAGGCCACACCCAGGATGACTAGGATCAAATGTGTGTGCCAACAGTCCCCATACTCCGGGTGGTTTTTGGCTTTTGTTTTTGTTTTTGAGACATGATCTTCCTGTAGCCCCAGCTGGCCTGGAACTCACTATGTAGACCAGGCTGGCCACAGTCTCACAGAGATCCACCTGCCTTTCCATACCCCGGATGG